TTAGATCGTCGTCAACTGTTCGGGATTTCTGAACAGCATTATCCAAATCCTTTGGAGTGTACCCCAGATTCTCATATCCTCCAACTTTATTCTTCATGAACAGAACAATGTTGCGTTATTGTATTCCTGACTGTCGCATCCCTACCGCCAGAGCCTTGTCTCCTTCACTCACATTTCGATGAGACCGAAGGAATTGAGTTTCTTCTTCATTGCAGCAACGATGTGAGTGCTTCCTCTCAAACTTAGAAACAACCCACATTTTCTTATTCCAATCAAAGCATACAGTATACGATGCCTTGCAAGAATGTCTTGTCATCTTACGATGTTGTCGAGTCTGACCTTCTTTATCTATATGCATCTTCTCTCTAGTCCCCTCTCTCGAACATACCATTGTCCTCCCAATTGCTACTCCTCGACGACTCCTCCGATGATCTCTACGTCGAACGCTAAATCCTTTCGCTTTAGCATAGGAATCGTAAAATTTCTCTGCATCTTCTAATGTTTGGAACTCCATGGAAGGAATTTGTTGTTCATATTCAGTAGCTTCTTCATCATCCATAAATTCTTCTTTAGCACCCTTGGTTTCCTTATCATCCCCAACCACTTCATCATCCGTATTATCTGTATCATCTGAATTATCCATAGATCCTTCTCGAGCATCCTTAGGTTCCTCATCAAAGTTAACCTCGTCATCATCTCTATCATCTGTATCATCTCTGTTATCCATCCTGCAACGATCGGAATACGAATTTAATGTCAAATACATACAAAATTAGCTCTTGTCAGGTCGACCTGAATTTACTGTAAGGTCGACCTTATTACTAAATAACAAAGAAGAGGTCGACCAGAATTTACTATAAGGTCGACCTAATCATATAATTACGAATTTAATGTCAAATACATACAAAATTAGCTCTCGTAAGGTCGACCGGAATGAAATGTACGCTCGACCTTATTACTAAATAACAAAGAAGAGGTCGACCTGAATTTATAGTAAGGTCGACCTTATTTTAAAATAACGAAGAAGAGGTCGACAAGAATTTACTGTAAGGTCGACCTAATCATATAATTACACAAATACGGTCGACCGGATGGTTGAGGTGGTCGACCTAATTAGGGAAATTTTTTACCACATACAATAATTAACAAGCACATACGAGACAGTAGTTCGTCTCCGCCTGTTACTCCTTAGGCAGCTCCCCCAGTTAACAAGGTTCCTAAGCTGAGAATATGGAAGGATCTTCCGGATGTGCCTCAACTTGATTTCTTGTCTGCATTGAGGGGAGGGATAATGTTTTGCAGCCATTGATTCAAGGTCAAAAGAAGGAAACTAAGGGTGGTAAGGGTAGGGGTGATAAACCCCATCCCTCAAGGTGAATTGCCTTATATGGAATGCGAGGGGTTTTAATGACCCCTCCAAGCAAAAATTTGTGCTTGATTATGTAACACACTACCCTATAAGTTTTGCCTAATCATATTGTTCATACAATTGCAGCGGAATTAGTCTCGGGCGTTACATTAATTATCAAAATTTACCCAAATAAAATTTCGACATGAATTACTCGCGTAATGGGCTAACAGTTCTTGCAACTTATCCTGCAAAATAATTCATCACAAACATATATACTCACAACCATATACATGGACTTTCATAGCCATAGTCACAGTTTCATACTACACAACTTCATACCAAACTTATACATACCATAATCGTCACAACTTACACAGTTACACAACATATACACATATCATCAACTTTCCACACCTGTGGATATCTCACACTACATCAGAAGCTAGTATGCACATGAAAAACGTTCTCAAAACATTTTTACAAAAAGGTGTGGATCACTGGCCAAAATCCCGAGTAGTAGTCCAAGCACAGAATGGTTGAAGACCATACCTCATCTTGCCTTCAACTCTTGCTCAGCTCCCACCTATACACCTATCTACTGCTGTTGCTGATGATCTGCTTACACATAGCATAAGCAGAGAAGAAGAATAAAAGAGGGTCAGCTCATAGCTGAGTGAGATAATCATAGCATCGTGAGTTCATAACATAGCATACCCCTATCATACATCTAACAATCAAGCCAAAACACTAGGATCGGACCTCAGCCATCCTCAAATCCCAATAGGCAAAAGACTCAACCACCTTGACTTATGAATATGCATCTTATCATGTTTTACTCATAGGCGCCTGGCTACTCCCATGCTAATAACTCTCCCGGGAAACATACCCCACATCCCGTCGGATGTAGTCATACATACCCCAACATCCCGTCGGATGTGGTCATACATACCCCACACCACTATGGGTGTAGTCATACCCCGACACCGCTCTGGGTGTGTTCATATCTCATAAGAATTCTTCAGTCACCACCACATGAGAGGTGTGACTATCATACATATCATAATAGAGTAATAGCATAGGGAGCCCTAATTATTATGTAGTTGACCGTGAGACCACAACACTCATATTTAGTATCTTTATACATGATTCATATCTCATCTTGCTTAATCATAATTCATTACTTGCACATGTACTTGACCTGGCCATAATTGGCTCGACATAGGTAAATCAGGAGTCGTATAATTGCACTTCCTCGGGATAAACCCTCATGCAAGTCATCCTCCTTAAACATCATACTATCACCAGGGAATAAATATTCTCCCACTGGTGCATCCAAATACAACAATCATGAAAAATCATACATAATCACCTTCTCGAACCATCGTAAAGCATATTAACAGTCAAGCCCACAATGTGCAACATATACACAATCATCAGCATAAACAAGGTTCATATCGATTAGGGCAAGTCAATAATATCATACAGCAATCCAGGGTTCAACATATAGCACAAAAGCTCATACACCCCTAATCATGCCATTCTAGTTCACCTAGATCAATTCTAAGCATCAATATAATTATCGTGATACGACAAACCCGGTATGCCGTGCTAATCCCTCACCAGTTCTGGTCGTTCAAACACCGGTTCTAGCCTCCCGTACTAAAACGTCAATTTCACAAACGAACCCAGAATTAAAATCCGAGACCGTCCTAATATCCCCTGCAGTATCCCCGTCAATATTAGTTCTGGGCTCCGGGTCAAATTCTTGATAAAAACACATCAAACCCTGGCCGGAGCTAAATTCCGCGGTTTGGACCCCAGCCTAAATAATAGCTAAAATTCAGGAATTAGAACTAGAGGATTGATTACCTCACTGCAGGAATCTCGTATATGAAATTTGGGCTCAATCCGGCTTCCGGATACTCCGAAACCCTAATTTGGCTTATCGAGAATTAAAGAAATCCCCGAACCAAAAACTCGTTTTAAAGCTCTAAATCGATAAATCACGATGTATGGATGAATTAGGCATTACTTACGGGATTTTTGGATTGCTAAAGCTCAAGAATCGAGCTCGGAGAATTTCCTGTTTTCTCCCGTGCGCGCCTTGTTTCTCAGAGTATCTCTCGGTTCTTTTTTTTACGAGAATGAAGAAGATGGAAATGGATGGCTTTTACCTATATATATATATACTAAAGTGTTCAGCCGCTTAGTGTAATGAAATATATATATATATATATATATATATATATATATATATATATATATATATATATAATACGTATACTTATCCGATCGATAATTCGATTTACGCCGAAATAGTGTCGAAATGCTCTATTTTAAATCGTGAAATTTTCTAGCGAACGAAATATGGGTTTTGCTGGAACATGATGTTACAGATTATTTAGGTAGATACAAGGTGGAGCTAGGAGCTATATTGGAAACTCGAGTACAGGTTAGCAAGTCAACTGAAATCATAGCTAAATTTACAGACTATGAGGTTTTGCCCAATTATAATCATGCCCCTTTAGGGAGAATTTGGTTTTTCTGGAAGAAAGGGCTGCAAGTGATAAAAGTTAGTGATGGTGTTGACTTTATGCATATGTTAATTCGAACAAATAAGGGGTCTGACTTCTTTTTCACAACAATCTATGGTTTTGTTGAGGAACGAGTAAGGGCTTCAATGTACTCTACTCTCTCCCCCTTTATAGTCAGAGGTTTTCCTTGGTTAGTTGCAGGCGATTTCAATGCTATTCTAAATCCTAATGAAGCTTCCAATTCAGTTGCAATCACCTCCAGCATGGTTTACTTTAGGGATTGGGTTCATAACATGGAACTGGATGACCATAGATTCTCAGGTCCTTGGTTCTCCTGGTCCAACAGGCAGGTGGCAAACCCCATTGCTCGGAAACTGGACAAAGTATTAGTTAACTCTGATTGGTACTCGTCTTTTCCTTCTTGTATTGTGGATTTTCTTCCTCCTGACTTGTCAGACCACTGTGGAATGCTTGTTAAACCCTTCATTCAGGCTAAATCCTTCCCTAAGCCCTTTAGGTTTTTTGATATGTGGGTAGACCATCCTTCTTATATGGATCTAATGAAGAAAGCTTGGAGCATACCATCAAGAGGTTCCCGGTTAAATACTTTGAAGATGAAACAGTTAGCTGCTAAGACTGAGCTTCAGAAACTAAATAAGGAATGCTATGCTGACATCAATGGTAAAGTAAGAGAGGCTGGAGACTTTATAAACAGGCTCAACTGGCTTCTTTGGCAAGTCCTTCTGAGCAAAGCAGTCAAAATCGGAATTTTGATCCTAAAATCCTAGGATTTTAGGATTTTACTTAGCTATTCCGATCCCGATTTTACTATAAAATCGGAGGACCTTAAAATCGTTTAAAATCGGGATCAAAATTGGTGAAATCGGTGAAATCTAGATTTTTTTACCGATTTTGGGTTCCAGGTTAAATTGCACATTCTGGACCAATTAAATGGGTTGGGTCGATTACTATTTCTTTCCCAAAGCCGGGCTCTTTCTATTTGACGGTTCAATTACTTCCCCAAATCAAAAGTGGGTTACCAAATGCCGCCCTACTTTCACAAAATCGCCATAATTTAAACATTGAGCTTACATTTTTATCCTTCTCCCATATTTATTTTTAGCATGTATTCATTTTAACAAACCCATTAAAAAACTTAATCCACACTCCATCACTATCACCTAGTCGCCATTGTCCACTGTTGCCTGTCAGCCACCGATTCCCACTGCCAGCCACCGACCGTCATTGATTTCCACCGTCGACGGCGATTTCAAACTTTTCATGTAGATTGAATGCACCTTTGTTGATTCACACCTTGGACAGACGACGACGGAGAGTTGATTCCTGCGAGGGGGATAAGGGAACGACGCTGCTGGGATTTGATTTCGATGGCAGGGAGAATCAGAGGACACAAACAGTGGGAACTAGGGAGGTGTTAATTGCAATGGTAGGTGTCGTCTTTGTGTCTTCCAAAGGATTTCCATACTCAAATTTCAAAATCTCATCCATTTCGCCAAAATTTGATCTCCAGCGCATTTCACCTCTTTCCCAAGTTCTGTGTCAGTTGAGGAATCAACCCACCACCGGCGCCGACTATACTGCCGGGAAGCATCCGCCTCGTGATCGTAGTCACACCTTCCTCCTCCTTCTCCGCCATTACCGCCTGTGGTTCCCGTCGGAACAATGAAACTGAAACCTGAATAGTATGCCCCTTTTCCAACATTGTCGGGGACAGAGTCGACGAATGGCTTCAATCGGAACTCGCTTGTGGCGGAGTGCAACATGATGTGGTAACGACAATAGGCACCATTGTACATGGATGACGATTGTTGCGGGGGAAAGATGGGACAAATCAGTTGGTTCCTAGGATTAATTGACTTTGTCATTACTGTGTTGACTTATTCGCCGGGGATTTTGGGGAATTGTGGCCGCTGAGTGGAAGGGAGAAGGCTGCTGGTGAAGAGTGTTTGGAGAGGAGAAAGTTTGAAGAAGAATTAATTAGAAATGGGAAACAGTGTGTTTTGTTTAATTTTAGTTTATTATCAAGGATAATTTAGTAAAATCACAATTTAAGTTAGGGCGATAATAGTAAAACTAGGGCGATGTTTAGCCATCCAGAATCAAAAACCCTAGAGCTATATTCCTTTACCTTCCATCCTCTGGGCTCTGTCTGTCGATACCCCCAGTATCCGAGAATCATGCCTGCTGATGATGCCTTTGCCTCAGCAACACAATCCACGGAAAATCTATCAAAATGAAAGAGGAATGAACAAGGGAGTAGAATCGACCCAGCTTAGCAATATGCGTTCGATGTAAATTCAGATGCAAAGTCTTCTAAATGTAAGTTCTGCTCTAAGCTGCTCTCTGGTGGAGCATTTTGTCTCAAGTAACATCTCGCTGGGACGAAGCAAAACGCGGCGGCCTGTCTGAGTGTTCCTGATGATGTGAGACCACAAATGCTGGAGCTCTTGGACTTCAATTTGGAAGCAAAAGAGGTACGAAAAAACTTGATTCGTCCTGGTCTTGGGGTTAACAGTAGCAAAGCTTCTGCTCCTGTAGAGTCAGTTCAGTCCAGTATGTTCCCTATACCTAAAAGGGGAAAGAAAATTTCCAATATCAATCCGCCTCTTCCAAATCGTCGTCAATCAACCATGAGTCAATTGTTGAAAAAAGATCTTCGACATGATGCTTGTAGGGGTATAACAAGATGGTTCTACAACGCCCTTTCTTTTAATGCTTCTAGAGATGATTTGTTTACTGAAATGATTGAGCTCGTTGCTAGATATGGTCCGGGGTTTAAACCACCATCATACCATGAGCTAAGAGAGACTTTGTTAAAAGAAGAGCTTAAGGAAGTAGAAGGAAAACTTGCTGTGTTCAAAGAGGAATGGAAATCGGTGGGTTGCACTATCATGTCCGATGGATGGACTTATAGGAAGAGAAGATCAATCTGTAATTTCATGGTCAATAGCCCAAGAGGCACTAGCTTTGTTAAGTCTATAGATACATTAGGCGTCATTAAGAATACAGAAAAGGTATTTCAGATGCTGGATAATATTGTAGAGAAGGTAGGAGAAGAACATGTTGTTCAAGTTGTCATCGATAATGCATCTGCTTATAAAGCTGCGGGAGAAAGACTAACGGCAAAGAGAAAGCATTTGTTTTGGACTCCGTGTGCAGCTCACTGTTTGGATTTAGTGCTAGAGGATTTTGAGAAACGCTTACCATTTCACAAGACAACCATTTCGAAGGGAAATAAGATTATGAATTTCATCTATGCAAGAACTAATATGATTGCTATGATGAAGGATTTTACAATTGATAGAGATCTGGTCAGAGCTGGTGCTACATGATTTGCAACTTCGTTTTTGAGTCTTGCTCGCCTCAGTGAACAAAAGGGCAACTTAATGACTATGTTTGCTTCAGAAAAATGGAGGAAGAGTTCATTTGCAAGCATTCAAGAGGGGAAAAGGATTCAAGGAATTGCTTTAGATGGAAGGTTTTGGACTAATTTGGTGAATTGTCTCCGAGCTGCTCTGCCTGTGGTCAATTCCATTTTTGGACTAATTTGTTGATGGAGAAGAGAAGCCAGCAATGCCATTTTTGTTCCAAGAATTGTGTGAAGCAAAATTGAAGATTAAAAGTAACTTCAGTAACATGGAAAAAAAAGGTAAAAGCAACTAAATTTTTAATGTCTGCTGCTGCTGATTCTTTATGTCTTCTGTTGTTGTTTTTTTTTCGTCCAGGCGGTTGCTTCATTTTAATGTCTACTGCTGCTGGTTTTTATGTATGTTGCTGTTGCTGCGTTTTTATTTCTATTGTTGCTGCTTCTTTTTAATGTGTATGATGCTGGTTTTTATTTCTATTGTTGCTGCTTCTTTTTGTCTTTGTTTATTTATGAAAGTTGTTGCTTTCTTTCTTAGCTTCTAGCTGCTGGCCTGCTGCTACTTAATTCTCTTTTTCTATTGTCATTTTGTCTTCTTGCAGATATAAACCAATTATCAAAATAATTGATAAAAGGTGGGAAGAACAGATGGGGAAGCCTTTGCACTTGGCTGCTCATTGGTTGAATCCTCGAGTTCACCATGCTAAAGGATTCAACCATAATGATAAGTAATTAAAAGTTGGGTTATATGAAACAGTGGAAAGATTAGCAAGAGGCCGTGATGAGTAACTGAAAATTATGGAACAACTAACAGAATTTCACCATGCTTCGGGAATGTTCAATTCTTATGGAGCAATGGATTTGTTAGATAGAAAGCATCTTGCAGATTGGTGGTCGAATTTTGGGGATGATGTTCCGGAGCTTCAAAAGTTTGTTATTCGGATTCTAAGCTTGACTTGTAGTGCCTCTGGGTGTGAACGAAATTGGAGTGTGTTTGAGAGAGTAAGTTTTCAAGGTTTTTGTAAGTTTAAATAACTCATATGTATGTGTACTATTGCTGATATTTATTCATTGTTGCAGCTTCATACTAAAAAGAGAAATTGCTTGCTCCAGAAGAAGATGAACGACCTTGTGTATGTGATGTATAACTCAAGTTTGATGCGGAGATCATGTAAAAAGGTGGAGGATATATTTGCGGAGATTGATTCTGATGATGAATGGATAGTTGAAGAGGGAGCAGAGAATGAACATGAGGGTCAAGTGTTGGTTGAAGAACATGTTGATATTACTGAATTACCTATGGAAGATGGTAGCAATGGTCCGAATATGGTTAGTATCGAAGATAATTCAAGTGCTCATGGGAGCAAAACTAATGATATTGATATCATTGGGCAAGCAATGCAACAAGGATTTTATGATGATGATAATGATGGTGTGGAGGATAGTTGCCATTTCAAGGATGGCAATGATGATGAGGATGAAGACTTGGATATTAATATTGATCCAAATGACCTTATGTGATCTGAACTATTAATTTTTTAGTCCTAACTACTATTACTAGAACTTTAGAAGTCTAGATGCAAGTTAGTCGGTTTGTATTTGTATTGAATTAGAGTATTAATCTTGAGATTTATCATATTAAGTGGTTATGTGTCTTTGTGTTATTAATTATTTATCTTATTGATATTATTCAGTGCTTGTTTTTATATGGAGCTTATAATCCTACGATTTTACGATTCGATTTTACCTCGGTTTTCGATTTTAGGTAAAATCCCGATTTTAACTGCTTTGCTTCTGAGGCAAATTTTGCTCTTGAACAGAATCTAGCTACTGATCTTACTAAACTAAAGAAAGATGAGGAGAGTTATTTTCGTCATAAATCTAGAGTACAATGGCTTTCTCTGGGAGATTCTAACACATTTTTCCATCTTTCCATGAAAGTGTGACAGGCTAGATGATGTTGAGCTTATTGCTGAGGAAGTCGTCTCATTTTATCAAAAGCTCTATGGAGTTATCAATAATGAGATTATCCTTGATCCTGCTTTACTCCTTTGATCACTAAAAAACTATCGGAGGAAAGAAGGAAAGTTTATGTTCTCAACTCTCAGCTTCAGAGATTAAAGCAGCTCTATTCTCAATGAAACCTGATAAAGCACCTGGCCTTGATGGTTGGACCCCTGGGTTTTACCAGAAGTCCTGGAGTGTGGTAGGAGAGGATCTTGTGGCTGGTATCTTGAAGTTTTTTGCTAATGGCTGTCTCCCTAAAGGTTTGAATTATGCATCCCTTACTTTAGTGCCTAAGGTTCAGAACGCTTGTAGAATGACTGAATATAGACCAATAGCTTGTATAAATGTGGTATATAAAGTCATCTCCAAAGTGATAGCAACTCGCTTACAGGTTGTTCTTCCTAGCATTATTAGTAGGAACCAATCCGCTTTCATAAGAGGTAGAAATATCACTGAGAATAGACTGATGGCACAAGAAATGGTCTCAAGATATAACCATAAGAATATTAGCTCACATTGTGCAGTTAAAGTCGATCTTATGAAGGCTTTTGACTCTGTACACTGGGGGTTTCTATTCCAAGTTATGGAAGAGATAAATTTCCCTATTCTTTTTATAAATTGGATAAGGACTTGTTTATCATCTGCATTTTTCAGTGTGAGTATCAATGGCGGTTTGTGTGGCTTCTTCCCTGCTTGTAAAGGAGTCAGACAGGGTGACCCTCTGTCACCCTACCTTTTCACTTTGGTCATTGAAGTTCTTACCCTTTTGATTAATAGAGCAGCTCAGATAAATCAGCTACCATTCCATCCACAATGCAAAGCATTAGGTTTGACACACCTGTGTTTTGCTGACGATTTGCTAATCTTTTTTGAAGGCTCTGGTTGGCTCTGACTTGTATTAGAAGGGTCCTAGAAAAGTTTTACTCTCTGTCAGGACTTCGTTGTAACCCTGACAAATGTGCAGTATACTTTGGGGGGACTTATCGGCAAGCACGGGACTTAGCTCTATCTCTATCTGGCTTTAAAGAGGGTACATTACATGTTAGATACTTAGGTCTCCCTCTGAGAGCAGGCAAGATCTCTACTAATGACTGTGACCTGTTGATTGATAAAATAGTCAGTAAGATCCGCTCATGGAGATCAGGCAAACTCACTTATGCTGGTAGACTAGAGCTGATTGCTTTAGTTGTCTATCCTATTCTTCAGTATTGGATAGGGATCTTTATTTTACCCAAGTGTGTCATAAAAGGAGTCCAAAAACTCTGTTTAGATTTTCTGTGGCATGGTAATGACTCGGGGAGAGCAAAGCTAGCTTGGGATCTCATTACAATCCCTAAAAAGGTGGGTGGCCTAGGTCTTAAGGATATGGTGATCTGGAATATTGCCTTTGCAGGTAAATTGTTGTGGTTAATCTTAATGCGGGGGGTCCTTCTGGGTTGCTTGGGAGCACAAGTATAAGATTAAAGGGAGATCTTAATGGGATCTGAAAGCAACTCAGTCAGGATCTTGGATATGACGAAAACTGCTCAAGCTCCGCTCTTGGTTTCATTTTCGACTGATTCTAGAGGAGAGAGGGGCTGTTTCGTGGGAAGGATGTTGGATGGAGAAATATAAGATCAAGAAGGTCTGGTCCTCTTTGTGGGCTAAGCATCTGATTGTCGCGTGGTGGAAGTGGTTGTGGACGAAACATAATATTCCCATTAACCGATTTCTATCCTGGCTCGTTATGAAGGACAAGATCATTACTAGGGAGAAACTGATCAGCTGGGGTAAGACTATTGATCCACGATGTGTATTGTGCTCAGGTGGTACTGATTCAAGAGCTCACCTATTTTTTGATTGTCCTTACACTAAACAAGTGGCTGAGACAGTGCTGAGTGATTTCTCTATGCAGGTAGTTTTTGTTGGGATGATTAGTTGGCTGCTGCAACTAGTCTTGTTTCATCTTCTCGTATCCAAAGTCAAGTGATTGGTTTTTGCTGGTGTTGGTTGCTTGCTTCTATATGGAGGGAAAGATGCTCCAGGGTGTTTGGGGGTAGAGAGTTGACTCCTGAGTTGTTGATTGCTTCCTTCCGTTCTGATTGTAATAACTATGGTATAGGCAGAGTTGAGTTTGCTACGCTATTTTGATTAGTTCATGCTTAGGTTTATTTGACTGTTAGTGGTTGGAGTTGGGTTATTTCTTGGGTGGGTTTTACCCTCATTGTATTTTTGGATCTGGCTTTGTCCAGTTGAGCTTAATGAGAACTGCCAATTATCGGGGAAAAAATATCGTACGTAGGGGTAGGCGTTCGGTCGGTTCAGTTTAAACCCAACCGAATTAGGACATGTCGAATTTCCGATTTTCCTTGCACCATTCGAACCGAGCTATAATTCGGTTCGGTTTGGTTTAACTGCTCGAAACTGAAATTCATAGCTGCTGCCCAATTTTTGCCTGCTCCCTTCTGGTCTGGTTCGCTGGAACTAGAAATTTTTGCCTGCTGCCTTCGGAGTTGGAGTATAGGAGTAGAGGAGGCGAGTGCTGAGTGATGGCAATCGGAGTCAGCAGAAGATTCAGTGCGGCCAGAGGAGACTCGGCGGCCGGCAGGTACTTGCCTGGGTCTGGGTGGGATTGTGGGAGCCTGGGAGGCGAAGACCGGTGGGTCTGGGCCGGCGGGTGCTCCCCGAGGGTGAGGATCGTGTCGAGAGAGAGACGAAGCTGCTTCTCAGGGTCGGGCCGTCGACGTCGCGGAGCTCGAGCAGTGGAGGAGGTTGGAGGAGACGGAGTCGCAGTCGGCAGTCGCTGCGTCAGCTGCTTCGGTGCTTCCCTTTGCGGCTTTCCCTTTGCGATTTCATCTAGGGTTAGGAGTCGCAGTATCGCAGGCGCCAGAGAGTGAGACGGTCGATTTGTTGAAGACTTGAAGAGGCCAACATTGACCATATGTAGCAGACGACAGCAAGGAGCAGGCCCAGGCCATCGGACAGAAGCCCAAGCCAATTTGTTTAAGTGGGGCGGAGTGGGCTGAAAAAAGAAGGCTGGGCCGCGAGTATTGGGCAGGGATTCAAGCAGGTGGGTTGTATTTTCGGAATTCGGTCGGTTTTTTGGAATTTTGGTTCGGTTCAAACGAACCTGAGTTCCAAAATTTACCCTATTTACTTCCGAATTTCGAACCATTATTGAATTATGACTTCAGTATAAAATACTCTACTACCAACTTTTTCGATACGATTTTACAATCCTTTGATTCAAACAATTCTTTTACACTGGTGAAAACAAAATTTTTAAGGCACATTTTGAATTATCTATTGCAAAAAAACATAAGTCAGTTAGCGATAATGGGAAGTCCGTACACAACACATTGTCCAACTACCTATTAGTGAAAGCTTAGCATTATGTCTTATATATTTCAAATCAAGCAACTTCATATTCATTACCAACAGTGTGGTAAAAAAGAATATTCTCTATTGGGAAAAACTTAAAGGACATACTAAACTCTATGAGACATTTTTTCATCCTAAAGGTTGATTATGTATTTACTATGAGAAGCAACTCTAATATTCAACTATATGGTTTAATTAAGTAATGAATGACAATTAGTTATATTCTTTTTTTTTCATTCAACAATTATATGTAATGCTTATATTATATTTTTTTTCTCTTTTCATGGAAGTCTAAACACATTATGCATAGGTGGATCATTTTCAAAAATGTTATGTGCATAACTAAGATAGAAACAATCATTTCATGCATTTTAAAGTCATCTATTATATTCATTATTATATACCATATTTCTCTACAAAATTCTTCCGGCCAACGGGTCAAAATTATCACATCGTGTAATATTTACCTCCGCCTCATGAGCAATATCTTGCTTTTTCTCAGCACCATCAACGGCATCGGGTACACCATTAGCAGGGTCTACTTTTTCCTCCTGCAATTGCTTGTGATTATATTAATGAATGAAAGTTCCATATATATATATATATAGAATTATATACATATCATAATCAAACTCACGTAATGGAAAGTGCATGGTAATATGATTAAATAAATAGAAGTTCCAGTAATAGAAATAACATGCATAGAATCATATACATTGCAAAATCAACGTCTCAAAATCAAACTCAAGTAATGTAAAGTGCATGGTAATTATGATTCAATAAATGGAATTTCCAGTAATATATATAATTTTCAGGGAATCATATACATTGCAAAATCAACGTCTTAAGTATTGGAAAGTGTTGTAAATGACAGTTTGACGTTACTTGGACATACCTCGATCAATATTGGGAGATCATTTGAGTTGGAGTTTTCCTAATCCTTCTCTATCTTGATAATTGTGTATTCGCTTGTAGGGTTAGCGATGTTGTAACCCGTGAGCTTGATGAAGAACTTCAATGTCATCCCTTCAATTTTTAGGAGATGAGCCGGTGGTGGTCCTCTCATTTGATCGTTGTCTTGGAAAAGTTTTTCAGCAGATATGCGAAAAAATCGATCGGCAACTCCATCCATAATAACAAAGTCAGCTGCATTTGTTGTGTACGCAGCTCGGAGGTGGATCCTGAATCTATGATTATAATGACGCAATTAAAGAAGAAGAAAAATCGTAGGAGTGGTGAGGTCGTTGAATTAATATATGTAAGCCAAAAGTAAATGATTAAAAACCATGTTGCAGCAAATTAAATCATCAACCACGTTGCAATATCTATGAAATTAAAAAAGGAACATAAACTATGTTGTAGTTAATCATGCATCCAACCACGTTACCACTATATCAAGGAATGAAAGACATGAAACTAAAATTGACATTAACAATCATCGAATTACCGGGCTGTAGTGGTCTTTAATGTTGTCATACGATCCCCACAGAAGTACTCATCAGAATCTTCTTCGAGTTTTTGTGGACACTTTTGACATCCAGCATAGCACCACCCATTCTTAACCTTGAGAACTTTGCATATGACAGAATACATATTTACCAGCATTATATATGTAGTGTTAGCAATTGATAATGATTAGGTTGTTTAATTGAAACTGGTACTGACCTCCTCTCCCTCGTTCATCTTCAATATATTCAGCTCATCTATTGTTTTCAGTGGAACTATCTTTTGCTCTTTTTCCGTTTCCTTCACTGGCGGATCACCCCCACTTTATACACCAAAAAGGTAGGTAATTAATGTCTTAATACGTTATAAGCTTGTAACTTAAAATGCACAACATTACGATGACAAAGATGTTGCGAGTTTTACCTTGGTGCAAAATTAATGACTTCACGAATTTGCGGATCAACCATTAGTAAGGTCGCTCCGCTTGAGGAGAATGTATTCTCACCTGCAAATGTTACGGTATGTTAATTAAGTGTATAGTTTATATGAATTATATTAATTGATATGAAAGTAATTAAATTGTGTGTTTAACATTGTAATCAGCAATGTATAATGATGTAATGACCAGGATGATAGGACGATTGCCAGCACTTGCAAGAATGGCATTAAATTGGGTGATTATCCTACCAAAGAGAGTTACCTTGACAACCAATCCCTTGTACCCGAATTATGTATTAGATTTGCACTTAGAAATAAAGTAATGTATGTTATTTGACTTTTGAAACGAAAAGGTAAAAGAAATACATACTCTGGAAGTTTCAATTGTAGCTCTTTGCGGGTAACTTTTCCAATCAGTTTAGTACTTGTAAGCAAAGCAGAATACTTTTTAAGCTGTCCAACAACATCTATCGAATGCAAACATTTGAAAGTTAGTACTTTTTGTTGAAAATGCATAAGGTTGTAATTTGCATTGTGAATGATATGTTGAACCTGATAGGTATTTCCTTTGTTGCACTTCTTGGCAATCTCATCTTGTTTGATGAAATTGAACTTGTAAGCAGGTATGGATGGAATGTCATCGCAAGCATGGGCCTCTGTATTTGCCAGGAACTTGATGACGAATCTGTTTGAAATTGGCCTGTAGTCTCCCGTTGTCATAGTGACCTTAAACATCCTGATAGTGTACACTCTCTGGTCCCGAAAGAGGGGCTGAAAGTCCTTGATTTGGACTTTGGAAATTTTCACCCAAATATCATTGCCCTGCTTAAGTTAATTCAACATATTAATAATCATACTGTGTAGCGTTAATCATGAAATTTGAATTGGCATGGATGTCTTTTTTTCTACCTTTGAGTCGATGACTATCATATCGAGGCGAAGAACAAAATCGGTGTTGAGATTGATTGTCAGCCACTTCCTCGAAATGCGAGATTGGATAGTCCAGTCCCTTTTATGAGTTGTCAGAACGGATATGAGTTGGGATTGCATATTGACTAACCTTCAATAAAGCAATAAATTTGAAAAGTCTAACTCACAAATGTAATAAGCACAATCATAATGTAGGGAATTCCGAAATTTAATATCATAGAAAATAATATTAGCATATATAGTTATGGATATTATTCACCCATAGCTACGACAAATACATAATATGTTTGTACTGAGCAGCGAGTAGGGAAAAGAATAATGTATCCAAAATATGATTAATAACCTGTGGGGCCAAAGTGAAAGTGTAGCGGGCTAGCGGCAGTGGAAGCGGTATTGGAAGAGATAACAAAATGAAATAATTGGTAAACTAATAATTAATGAAGGAATGTAAAAACTGCAGGGATTGGAGAAGACAATTATCGTACGGGTATACTTCAGCTATGATAAGAGCGATGCAGATGAATTGCCTTGAATTGCTTCTATTCCAAAGAAAGGTTTAACGCCATTGGTGGAAGTAGCAGGTATCTCTAGCACTTTATATAATATATTTGGGTGAGAGATCTACGCTATTATGTCTGTGGCAGTAGATGAATTGAATTGCAATTTAATAATTTTTTATTTGTACTCCTATTTAATAAACCAATCTCTATTAACTGTGCAGGAATTGAATTGCAATTTAATAATGTTTTAGCTATTCCGTGCAGTATACTTTTCGGAATAAACTGTGGAACTTCGTGTTGTTATTGTCTTGCATTAGTGTTCAGATAATTTGTAATAATTGTTTATTCTTTAGAGCATGTTCTTCTTATTTCGACGGAATTGGGGCTTGGATTTATTTTTTTGGAAGTTAGTACACGCACATACCATGGTGGATTTGGATTTTAGTTTGAATATAAAATAAAGGAATAATAATGTAGTAAACCCAAAACTTAATAACAATGTTGTAATTTTAGTGCGAAGTTGACGGTGGGTGTGGCAGTGTAGGAATGCAATTGCAATTTATTGTAATATTATTTTGTATTAGGCAATTAATTAATTCAATTATATGGGATTGCCCAATAAAATTGTTGGGTTATGACGTTGATGTAAAATGGGCTTTGGCCCATGGACTTAGGATAAGGTTCGATTGCCCTAGAGGGCTTGGGAACCTCGGCTAGGGTTAGAGAAGAATGGCCGAGGTATGTATATATGTGTGTGTAGCAGAGGTTACGTTGAACACACACTGAAATAAGAAAGAACAGCTCCTTCCCGTGGACAAGTCTTGTTCGATCTTGATCGAACAAGGAAACCACGTAAACTCCATCTCGTCTCGATCTCTGTTTAGTTTCTCAATCTCGTATTATGTTATCTAACATGGTATCAGAGCCTGACAACATCAACACCCATTTGAATTCGAAGAATTTCGCGTTGTGGGAATTCCAGTTCCGTACGTTCATCGTAGGTCAAGGATTCTTTGGTTTCCTTGAAGGTTCCGCACAGAAACCTGTTGTTCCTCCTGCTTCCGAACAAGAGCTCGCTAAATGGATGCAGTTGGATGCAAAGGTCCGATCATGGATCCTGAAGTTTGTAGATCCGTCAATTGTGCTTGGTCTGCGCCTTCTTCCAACATCGGCGGAGATGTGGAAGTCCCTGCGTGCTACGTACTCCTCCACTAGTGTGGCTAGCCAGTTCGAAATTGAAGTGAACTTGCAAATCTCTAACAGGGAGATCAGGACGTCACTAGTTATTATAATGCAGCCAAGCTCCTTTGAACCAAGCAAGACATCCTCGCAGCTGCTCTCTTGTCGGGTGT